GATTATAAGAAAAGTTTGAAACAAGCAAGATATTGATATTAGGCTTAGAATTTATTTCATCTTTCTCCATTTAAGTTCTAAAGTTTTTTTAGGGATTACTTTAATAACGGAAAAAAATTGACTATTTCGTATTATAATCTATCAGCTACAATTTTCTGTTCTTTTTTTTGCATAACTTTCCGACAGCTGTCACTTTCAGTTTTCTAATACTTACATTTAAATTACATCTGAAAATAACAAGCTTCATGAGTTTTAGCTTTATTCCAATTCAACGTTTTACTTATTTTCTTTTACCATTTTTCATTTATTCACTTTCTTCTGAAATTCTTTGCATAATTTCATACTTTGATATATGCGCAAAGCACGCAATTATCATATTTTCACGATGTCGAGAATATTACACAACTCATTTTGATAAATAGTAATACACGTAATAATGATAATAATAAATAATAAGAATAATAATAATAAACAAGAGATTTGCTCTAATCTTCTATACATCGCTTTCTATATGACAAAAGCATAAATGATGATAAATCGCTGAAACTATTTATCATTTCAATAATATTTCTTCCTATCGAATTCAATCTCTTAATCATACATTCTATAAGAATGTTTGTGATAAGAAATACAGCGTAGTATTTTGTGAAATAGCAATATTGATTAATTCTTGAAATATAATGAAAACAATTATGAGATATACTTAACTTTAAAATATTTTAAAACAAAACTATTCTTAAACAAAAATAACGAAGGACAAAGGAAAAGAAAGAAATGCTACAATACTGAAATAATTTCGATTTCCTCCGAACAGTCATAACTTTTTCATAAATTTTATAAAATTTTAAAAAATTTAAAAAAACAATGAAAAAATATAATTAATATCAAATTCAATTTTCTTTTAAATATTTTTTGTAATTTAACTTTTGAAATTAAAATAATTTTAATTTGAAATAATTATTTTATCAAAAGAAATCTTAGGAAAATGATAAAAGATTGAGTGTAATGAAGAGATATTATGCAAAGAAACATTAAGCTAATTAGGATAGGGTTCTTTTTACTACTTGAAATTGAGATTATCTTTTCCTAAAATAGCAATCGTTTTGTTTTCATCGAAATTATTCAATCGATTTTGTATCTTTCCAATGATAATTAAAGTAATTAAACGATATAATAGTAAATGTTTTCTATATATAAACAATTGAATTAATTATTCTAATTTTCTTTTGCCGTCAATCTTACTAATTATTTGGCAACTAATAAATTAAAATACAATCGTATATAACGAAGCAAACAAGAAAGACCTTTTTTTTTCTTTTTAAATTAGTAAATGATAATTACAAATGGCCGGAAAAAAGAAAAGTTGAATATTTCTTGTCATCAAAAGAGTTATTCATTATTCATTAATGTTTTCCAACTAGGATTTGTAATAATTATGATTATGATTGGAATAATTACTATATATGATAATTATAGTAATAGTTCTGTTGTTCTAATTCATTTGTTTAGATTGATAAAAAAATTACTATACATGATAATTAAAAAAATACCGTATAATGATATTAATTATCATGGTAGTGATAACGAAAAAAGAAACACTGAAAGGATGATTATAAAATGAATGGAATGATAATATTCAATGGATTATTTATTCCTTATATTACTAAAATTATAATTACAAATAATAGTTAACTTCATTTCTACTTTTCTTTTTTTATAATAAAAGATGAAATATTATATTTAAACTTTTTAAATGCTTTAAATATTATATAAATGAGAAATTGTAAGGAATGGAAATCATTTCTTTTTAAAATAAAATATAAATCAAATTATTCTTAATTTCATCAGACGTTTTCCAATTTAATTTTCTTTTCTTATACACGTAAATAACGTATAAGGTTTTGTAAAAGGCTTTGTTTAAATTTCAGTAAACATATTACAGCTAAATTATCAATGTTAGAATATGAAATTCTTTCTTTCTTTCTCTCTCTCTCTCTCTCTCTCTTTCTCTGTTCATTATGACTAGATCAATTAAATAAATTATATTTTATATCATGATAAAATGATACATAGATATTAGAATAATTAATATTCAAATAATTAATAAAGTAAAGCTATCATTCTTTTACATTATTTTTGAGCAAAAACAAAAATCGAATTATAAATGGAAACAATAATTTATTCAATTTTTATAAGAATTGAAAGTAATTTTTTAACAAAACTTTCCGTAATATTCTTTATAATATTGTTTTTTTTAATTGCTTAAAAAATTCCTAGCGGTTTTCTTTTCTTCTTTTCCGGAATACTGGAATGCCCTACCGTAATTCCTTCATTTTCTTTTATTTTTAATGAAATTAATAAGGGAAAAAAGAAGAATGAAAGGACAAAAATGAATGATATCGCTAATACTGTTAAGTATGAAATTATTTGAAAAAACTAAAGAGAAGGGAAAGATAAAAAGAAAGAATTAATTTATTTATTTAATGAATTATGAATTTCTTTTCTTAAATTTAAAGCAATTCATATATAAAACCGTTTTTCTCCAAATTATTTCCGTTTTTTTCTTTACGGAATTTGTTATGATTCTTAAAAGGTTCTTTTTTAGAATTCATTTAGCAAATTTGTTTGTTTTATCTGAAAGCATAAGAAGATGAATAATCGTTTTGAAAATGATGAAAGTTAAATGAGAAATGTAAATTGAAAAAAGAGTGAATTAATTTTTTAACATTTGATATTATGTATTAGATTTGATGAATTATCTGCTGGCAACATTAAAATAATTCAAAAAACATTTAGTAGCCTTAAGTCATTCATAAACAAAAGATAATATTCCTTTTATCTTATCATTTTGTAAACAATACAAATAACACGATGTTGCATCAAAATAAATGTAACTCTTGCAGCCACTTAAAATGAGTTTGATGTTAGTGTTATCATATGATTAACTGAAATTTCTATCTGATCATATCATTTTCATTGATTTCAAAGTTAAGAAATTTGAATTTTTCAACTTGCACCATCTATTTATTCATTACTACATCAAATTATCAATTTTATGTAAAGCTAACAAATATTTATGGATTTTTGATAGATGAAATTTTGCTTAAAGCAAATTAATAATTTACTTGGCTATGTCAAAATTTTATTTTATGCAAATAAGAATTAGCTTAGGATACGAAAAAGTTGCTAGTGTAAGTTGCGCTCAGATTTTTATGGTCGTATTAAAACCGCTTAATGATTCTGAACATTCCAGAAATATGTAATTCACATATACGCTTTTAATAATAGTTGAAATAGATTTTCAACCTATTTGAAAATTTGATCCAACTGAATAAGGAAAATTTTTGGCACCAAAAAAATTTGAAATATTTGGAAATTTAATACATTGAAGAATAACTTGAAATCCTTCATAACTTTATATTGAAAGTTTTAATTAATAATTAATACATTTGAAAAATGTTTTGATAATTGAAATTCTTTCTAACTTTTTATAATTGATGTCATTATCGCTATTTCTTACTTACACTTTTTTATTTTCTTGTTGCCTTTCCTAAAATTATTGCTAATGTTTTTATTTATTTATTATTATTAATTATTATTACTAACTATTATTATTACTAATTCCTATTGGTTGCTCTCATTATTTATATATTTTTCTGACTTGAAGCAATATCAATGAAATCCAAAAAAATATTTTGCTTTTCGCTTATGCGATTCCTATGCGATCGCTTATGCGATCGATGAGGAAAAAGTGGTAGGGTGGCGATATGAATAATTTTAATATCAAATAAAGTTTTCCTTTTTCCTTTTTTTTTGTATTCAATAAAATGGTTTTTTTAATTAATAAACTTTTATTAGTTACAGTTTATTGCAAAAATTATATTCAAAAAATTAATTCCTATACTGAATAAATAATTATCACAAAGAGAATATTAGAAGTTTTTTTCTTAACTTAAAATTATTTATGAACGAATGAATTAATCAGAAAGTTTTTATAGCAAATATTATGAATGTCATTTTGGAAAGGAGCATAAATCAAGTGGATACGATTCTTTAGTATTTAATATTATATTAATTTCATAATTATTATTTTCATAATCATAATTTCATAATTTTCATAATTATTAATTTCATAATTAAATAATTATTCCAGCATTCATTTAGTTCTTAAGCAAAATTTTCGAGCACCACAATGCAAGAATAATAAATACTTAATGTATTAGTTAATTCCTTAAAAATTGTTTAGCAAATGGTAATTTTATTGAAATGCACTGCAATATTACCATGATCTTTCCATTTTATCAATTTAACAATTAGAAAATATGGCTTACTTTTAGAAAATATGGCTTACTTTTTATTAGAAAATATGGCTATGGGGGTTAATTATTGCATTTCAAATTCAAATAGATTGAAGTGATATATAAGGAAATACTTGAAGCATTTGCATAATTCCGATTATGCTGACATCCATTCCGGATATTCCATGTTGCTCTTGATACATAAAAAGGATTGAATTTATTTTAGGATAAATTAAAGAAAGTGTAATATTTGCAAATAAAGCGAAGGTTCCAGTAGGTTCCAAAAGCAAATTGCATATGTCTGTTGCTTCCTCAGAAAACGATGTTGACAGCTGGCAAGTTTTTTGTTATTGTTTGACAATTTTCACTTGAATTTTTTTTGAAACAATAACCTTTAATATCGAGCATAAATTTGCCCAATATTAAAGGAAACAAAAATAAAATATGAAACAAAAATATTTCAGAATATTTAAATTGAAAGTAATTTTAAATTGCAGGAAAGATTCATTCGAAACGTTTTAACCTCTTTTTGTGATAGCTTATCATCATCTATCACTTACAACAAATGATCAATTTGAATTATTTTACAACGAATATGCAAAAATTTCGTTGAAAATTCAAACTTTTAAATTATTGTCACTCTCTTTGTTCAGTTTGTATTGATAAAATTTGATTTTTAAATTTTGAATTTGCCAAATTTCAATGAAGAAAGAAATTTTTGCATGCAGAAATTTCAGTCGGCAATCATTGACTGTCGAATCGGCACATCCAATGCATTTAGTTGCTTCCGGCAAAATACATCAAACAGGAGCAGAATCTCAAGAAAAATTAATGAAGAAATTTTCGATAGCATCGGTAAGTCGTAATTTTTACTTATAACGTGTAATATTTTGAATTTATCGAAATGATAAGAAATATTTTGATGAGAATTATTCCCGAGAGATTTAAATAAGCCAATGAGATAATAAAAATTGTATATATTAGCAATTCTAGAAATAGACTTTCTTCTCTTATAGTATAAATGAATTAATCAATTATTTTCAACAATATTACATCCGTTCAAATGTAATACATATTCAATCCGTAAGACGGAAACGGTTATGATAAATTGGTTTATGTTAGAGAACGTTTGATGAAATATCTTTAATTGTAAGATATTATTGAAAATATTCCAGCATATATTTTCAATTTTTATCAAATAATTATTGTCATTATGCAACAGAAAGTAAATACTTTGTATAATTAATATAAATAACGTAATATAATTAATATAAATAATATATTATTGAATCATATATATTATTTATTTAAAAAAATTTCACTTAAAGTTAAATTTAATAATTAACAAATTTTTTTTCCCATTTTTCTTTGCAACATTTGTAGGAAGAACAACGGGATGTGTACAGTGCAGCGGTTGCTGATAAATTGGAAGATCAGGAAGTGAATAATTTACGAAAGGAACGAAGTTATGAAAGAGAAAATAACAAAGAGAAATAATAATAATATCAAAAGAAAAATCAATGTTTTAATGATATGATGGTTATATGAAAATATGCTCTATGATCATATTCCTTATTATCTTATCACTATGATCTCTTCTCTTCCTTCCAATTCTTTTCACAGTTAATTTTCATTATTTTTTTTTTGCTTTGCTTTTAATAATTTTAAGTATCATTAATTAATTATTATATTTTGAAGTTTCATTTTGTTCATTTCATTTTACATTTAATGTAAAATTAAATCATTTTACAATTAATCTTATATGTATGTATAAAATTTTTACACGTAAAAAAGAGAATATATCGCGTATATGATCGCATATAACATTCCATATACTTAGTTATAAGAATTTTATGTATTACATTGGAGAGGTGGGAACACACACTATCATACGCGGTTACGTCAAATTTCTTTATGTTAAAATACGCACCACCAAACGTGACCAAACGTGGTTGCATAAAGTTTACGTGAAATAATTCTTTTGAAGTTTATGTGAAATAGTTCAATTTTCCTATAATTTACTCTTAATTCCCCAAATGAAAAAATAATTTTCAATTCTTTAAAAACTAATTCAAATATATTTCCTGCAAATGAGAAAGTGGTTGGAATCATTTTTTGTAAAATTATAAAAAAATTTCAAATTTTTTAACCTTAAGAACTTCCTCAAATTTGTAATGAAATAATGAAATCTTCCTTAAATTATTTTTCTTCAAATTTCTTGTCTATTCAAACTTTTCTTTTCTTACTTCGCTTTACCTGATCCAGCAATTGAGAGTTCATTGCAAGATTAAAGGTAAAAGATTATCAAGGAAAAATGAAAGTTAGTTCAAATGTGATGATATACGGCAGTGAATTAGCAATCAGATGTGATTAAAATGATGAACTGTTTGATTCATCGAAGTTTTCTTAAATAAGTTCAAATGTTATTTCATTGTTACGTCTGTCGTCTTTTTCGTTAATTAATTTACATTTACGGATCTCTGCTAGGGTGAAGTTTGGGATGTTTTAAATAATTTAATTTTCAATTTTATGCTCTATTTATCGCACTTTTTTATTTAGTCATTGCAAACTTTCAAGCATTAATAAGAAATCACTTATACAAATTTCGTATACCATCGTTTTCTTACCGGAATAGTCTCACTTTGACATCGGTAGCCAGAAAATGACCGCATCGTAGAAAACCTTTTGCAGCTGTTTAAGAAGTTAAAATTATTTTACCAAATTTTGGCTGATCATCGATGAATAAATGAAGAAATAAGAATTAAAAAAGCATTGATATCATTTCCTGAAAAGTGCTACTTTTAGCATATCAAATGCGCTTCTATTAAAATAAACCGAATAAATATATTTTATTACACTACTTGAAAGGAAAAATCAATAGGTTGAAGGGATAGGTAAAGAAAGCAATTGAAAATTGATTAACTGTTTGATTCAAAGAAAATATGAAGAAAGGCAAAACCAACAAATGCCTAACAATCTGATTGCAATATTAATAAGTTTTTGTAAATCACAGGCTTCGTTATCTTATAATTAATTTTTGAAGTTTCTAGAGTATGCATTTCTAGAGTTTACAAAAATTAACATAATGCAAAGTGCAATTTGTACAAATTTTAAGCATCGCTTCGATTAATTTCATTACTTAGGCAAAAGTAATATTATATAAGATCGCTATCATAGCGTTTATTTATGCGACAACATCCTTCGCGGTATCCTCGGCGATTTAAAAACTGCAACAATGTTTTTATGCTGTAATAGGAGATCAATGTCTTATACCTAAAGTTTGTCCAAGGTCATTTCTCGAATTGATGCTACCATCCTCGGTTAAGCGCTAATTCTTACTTTTAATACTTTTCCGTGCATTCGGGGAAAAACTATAGTTTCTGTGAGAGTTGTGACGTGTTTTTATTATTCAATGCTATTGCATTCGTTCTTAGGGAAATGAAATAGACATTTTGTATGCGTAAAATCTGTGACATATCAAAATTCATAGCTTAAAGTCATTGCAGGTGAATGGCGGAAGCAAATAGTTCCGATGATCCATGGGCACTTCCAGAAGGTCGTTTGAAGAATCGTCGAAATGTTGTTGATGGGGTTTGGAATTTCATCCTCTCTCTCAAATTTGACTGATCTCCAAGAAAAGATAATTTGCAATTTTGAGAAGGATAAATATATCGACAAATTAGGAAACTCTCAGTTTTAAAAGAATTTGTGTAGAAAATAGGATCGAAAAATACTTGGTTAAAAAAATCTTAACTTTTTTCATGGTCTAACAATTTTTTAAAAGCTAAAAATATCTTGTGTTGATAAATTTGATATACAGGGTTGTTTGAAATATGCATTTGTAATATATTCGGATATGTTGGCACAGAATATTAATGTATGCAGTATATTTGAGAAATTTATCTGACTGTGAAGAATATAGTGAAGCGTTTGTAATCTTTTATTTTAAAGATAAGGTTTCAAATGTAGTTTCAGCAGAAAGGAAGCTTATGAGAATAATTAAATATTGTGTGTCAAGTATATAATATTAGATATAGAGTCAGAGTATTGAATATCTCTAGCATCAGGGACCAGTGAGGGTTTATAAATGTACTAGAAACGAGTTAGTATAATTATAGATATGCCTCGGTGTTGTAGACAAATAGGTCAGTTTCTTAATAGATACTTCAATGTCATGAATGATTGCAGGTGTGAGGGTTAACATAAATTATATATATGGGAGTGTCATAAAATTTTATATACATTTTTAGACAAAAGCCTTATCATTGGATGATAAATCGGAGGTAAGCAGTTGTGACAACAGCAGCGGGCAGCAACTCTTTGGCGGATTTTCAGGTATTATTTGGGACAAATTTATAATTATATATTTATTTTTTGTGCTGCGAAATTTTTTTAAAAAAGAGGAAAGCGCGAAGCTCTTTATTATGTCTTGAAATGTTGGAAGGTATTTTTACAGCTCAGCAGTATATTTTTACGGTTTATGGAGAAATGACATGAATAGTTTATAATTTACTGTTTCTGTTAGGCATTGGAAAAATTTTTCGTATGGTAACTAATTAGGAATTAGTACAATGTCGATTGTTAAAGATGAGCTATCTGGAATGAAATTATAGAAAACACTCTTGAGCCATAAAGTGAAATCACGGTAATGTTGAAGAAATAAAATGCTGATACGAAGGCAATAATAGCTGCCATTTTGGTGCACTAGTCTACAATTATTGGAAGTAGACCTAGAAAAATTTAATTGGAGTTTTGCTTTTAAAACCAGCTTTCTGTGTGTCTTTTGTGCCAATATTTGTTTGACTGAATCATCAGTTACCTGCTGTATTTACAGTTGGTGTATTTTGCAGATTATGCCACGTTGATTTCTGGAAGTCCTTTCTTCTTCTCTACTAACTTTTTTTTCCTACTGTTTCATTGTGTTCTCTTTACTGTTCTCTCCATTTTAGTTTTGTTAATCATTGTTTTTCCTATTATCCCTCATTACTGATTTTAGAGGATTTGATGAGCAAAAGTAAACATACATAGGCTTCTCATTGCTGACTTCTCTGTTGAGTGATTTTGTTGTGGGCAAAAGCATCATTTGCATAAGAAAACGAAGCATTGCAGGTTATGAAAAGTTCATCATCTATTATTGAAATCTGATATTAAATAACTTTATACACTGAATTTTGCTAAGTGTGGCTAAGTATAGATTTCAGTATAACCAATAGTAGTTTCTGCGAAACATTTTTTTAATTTTCGTCCAGTTTTCTTATACTATAACTTCTTGAGTCAGTTTTAGCTCCGCAAATAACTCATTCGACTGTGTACTACAGATTGAAAACAACTGCAATTATTTTACAGCACCAAAAGCGTTTGGTGAAAGTGTATTTGGTGGTGATTTGAATTTACGAGATAGTCCACACGACGGCAGCATCAGGCCCGGGAGAGTCGCTGATGGCAGTTATGGGGACGCTTACCGAGGGGTGCCGTTTAATCCGGCTTCAAGGAATTCATTCGGAAGTAAGTTCATTTCTTCTGGTACAAAATATGAGTGTAATCAATCAAACCCAAAATCTTTTTATGGATTGACTGACGTAGTTTGGAGCTACTCGACAATCTTCAATTTATCATTTTAATTAGAATGAATTCACTTTTCTCAGCTTGCATTTAAATTCTGAAAAATTATATCGTAAGTTTTCTCCCTGTTGCATATCAACTCAAATTAATTAGAAATCCCAGCTGTATTTTCAATTTCTTTACCAATTCAATTTGTGATTTATTGTTTCCGCTCAGCGCTCATAACCCAGTATCTAATGCTGCAAATTTCTCTTTAATGTTTAGCTCAGCGAGGATTTGGAAGTACGTTTGGTGGTGGAATTCAATCAAGTAAATCATCCGGTAATGATGGAAGTTTTGGATTTCAAGCAAACCCGGCAAGATTTGATACAAGCAGCGGTTTTTCCAGACAAAATCTGCTTCTAGAAAATTCGAATCGGTCAAACAGCATAGGTCAATTCTCTCCACCAGCTAGTGCTGTTGATTTGTCTGATTCTTCTAATCTACCGCAATTCAGTGGTAATAATGAACGATGCATAAACATACGAAAGAAACTGGAAAATGAAGAAGATTCAGAGTTGAAACAACAAAATATTGAAACTGGAAATAGCGCTTTTTCAGTAATCTCATCCTTTCCAAAAAACGGAAGCTTCAGTAATAATACTGGAAACGTTGGAATGCAGCAACCGTTTCAGGCTGAAAAATCGCCAGGTTAAAACATTTTGATTGCTTTCAAACTTTTGTACGAGATGATATTTACATATGAAATAAATTATTGACATAATTGACAGATTATGCTACGGGCGTCATTTGTTTTTTAGTATTAACAAGTTATGCTTATCATTTTGATTCATATCAAATTAACTGTGGTACTTCACGATTTATTCTAACTCATCCATTAGGACATTGGGTTTTGTGAAATAATTTCCCTTTTGAAACGTCAACATGCAGTAAATTAAACTGAAATGAATAATTCATCATTCATTTTTCCAGGAGCGCACACATTATCCTTGGAAGAACGTGAGAAAATTTTTTGGAAACAGGCTGCTTCTCGTTCATCTCCATTCGTTCCTATGCAGATAGCAAGGAGTACTTTTTACCATTGAAATTAGTATTATAGAACAAAGTACTATGAGTATTTTTTATAAAAGAGAATTTTCAGGTTTTTTTGGATTTTATTGGTTGCGCGTAAGTAACTTCATGATGTTTTATTGCACCTGTGATCAATTTGCTTTATTTTAATATTTTTTAAAAATGAGCACAGTCATCAGTGCAGCAGTTTCATAACAACACAATTAACGAATTTCGAAAAAAAATGTAAAATGTGTACGTTGAAATCAAAAAAAAAGATATTGCGAGTTGCGTTAGTATCATACTTTACTTTTTCTTTGTGTTAATTTATTTATCGTAAGTTATGCAGGTCCACTAAATAACAAAACTCCAAAATTTGGTGGTTTCATTCCCCCAGCAAATGGTCGACCGCTATATGGACGAAGTCTTTGCAGCGACGAACAAAGTGGAAGAAGTAAGATAATTTTGTTTTTTTGAACAGCTGTAAATAACGCTGATAAAATCTCCCACCCTTCAGGTAGAATTATTCATAATCTATTTTTTTATAATTTTGAGATTTTAATGTTAGTTTTTGATAAGAGTGAAATACAAGGAGAAATTTTTTTCCAGATGCTGATACTGTACCACTTTTTTCTACTTCATCATCACAGGTATCATCTTCTTACTGTAATTATGTTGTTTTGATGGTTAAAAAAGATATTAAGATATTAGCAAGTGCTTTTGGTCATTATCATTTATTACTGCTTAGATTCTTATTTTGGAGTATTTTATAATTTCTAAAATTTCCTCATAGTTGTGAAATATCGAAGCATTTAGTGCAAGACAATGGCGAATGTTGACCAGGAAACTTCCCAACATGGTGGTGATGGATCTTTCCCAAAAGATGAATATGAAAAGCGTGAGTTGGCTAATATCTTAAAAAGAAATGATTGCGATTTTTCAATATGTAACAATGAAATACAAAAAAATTTGGATTCATTCCTTCAACCTATTCTATAGATGGATTGAATTGAACTGATTCGAAAAAAATTATTTCAAAAGCGCTTAAAAAGATGAGAAGCACTAAATGTTCTAGCTGATCTTGGTGATAAATAATTAAAAAATAGTTTATGCACTTGCTGATTTAAAAAAATTATGAGAAATATCAATTACAACAATGAAATTGTAATCCGAACATCTAATTGCAGTTGTGCTTACAGCTTAGTTTTTCAGCGATGCCAAATGAAGAGATATCGTTGCTAAACAAAATATTACATAAAAAGCTGGAAAATTTACAAAATGGTAGTTTAGAAATTTCACAGGCTCGAAGTGACCCAAATTCACCGCTGTATTCCGTTACTTCATTCCAGAGTTTGCGCCTGTGAGTTTTTGTTCAAAATCTAAAATGATAGACAAATAGTTCTGTGAAAATATGATCACTTAAATATCAAGTCATATTCGAGGTTGAGTACACTTTTATGGGTTTTACTAAATTAGAAAATTCAGCAATAATGATCAGTACATTTTGCAGAATTAAAAAATGGAATCGTTGGTATAATGTGACTTTTTTCGTCGTAATATTCCAACATTTGCAGGAAGGATGAACTTCTAAAAGCTTTAGATAAAATGAATTTCTATATGCCATCAAAAATTCAAGAAGCGGCACTCCCTTTGCTTCTAGTTGAACCGTATGTGCATTCATTCTTTTATTGCTCGTATTGTTTTGCTGAAATATTTGAAATTCAGAGAATTAACAGATCACATCAGTCATCTACAACTAAGTAGTTGAATGATATAGGTAAATATTAAATGTGGTAGCTTCAATAATAACTCAAGTTAAATGTAAAATATGGTAGTTTCAATAACTCAACTTTTTGTCTTTTTAACTATCAAAAATTTCAAACTTTTTTTAAGACCGATGAATTTGATTGCACAAGCACAAAGTGGTACAGGTAAAACAGCAACCTTCGTACTTACAATGCTGTCACGTGTCATTCCGTCCAATAAATGGCCTCAATGTTTGTGCCTCGCACCTACTTATGAATTAGCTATGCAAATTGGCCAAGTAGTTAAAAAAATGAGCGAATTTTTGCCGGAAATCGAGATTCGCTACGCAATTAAGGGTGAACGAAGTAAGCTTTTTTTGTAAATATTTTTCATACGAAAAGATATTAGACGATCGGTGTTTCAAAATTGCTGTAGAAGGATCTAATACATTTCTGGCCCAGTGTCACAAGATGATTCATTTTGCTGTTTCATTTCCTTTCGTCTTTATTAATCCTAGAGATGAAATGAAAGAAAGAATATCAATTTCCATTTTGGTAGTTTCTATTCATTAAGCGAAAATCTTTTCAGTTTTCATGTCTCTTCTACTATTCATGTGTAATATTCTGCTTCTTGCTTTTCTGGAAAAATATTGTTGTTTCCTCCATGCTTTTTAATAACTGAAAAAGTATTTGAAAGAGTGACGATAGGAATGACGAAAAAAAGATCGTAAGATAATTTTAAAATTTTTAGCAGTCCTTAGGTAGTGCATGCTGTATGAATGTAGGCTCTTCTAGGCTTGATATTTGGTGTCATTTGATTGGTACCAAATCTTTTAATGATTTTTGCATTAATATGTTAATTCTCGAAATACTAGTAGGACGAAGTGAGAATATATTCTGCTGTTAGGAATAAAAATTTATGAACGAAAAATTTTCTTCATTATTCTTTCAGTGTCTCGTGGGGAAAAAGTCGAAGAACAGATAATAATTGGCACACCGGGTAAAATGTTGGATTGGGTGACAAAACTCAAAGTGATCGATCCGTCTAAAATAATTTGCCTAGTATTAGACGAGGCCGATATTATGATCTCACAGCAAGGGCATCAGGATCAAAGTATTCGACTGCATAAGTACGTTCATTTGTTAATTTTTTGAAAATTAAGCTAAACTGGATTTGTTTTGTCGAAGGTGGAATATATTTGAATAAACATGGCAAAAATGGAGGTAAATTGTTTTTTAAATAGAAAACTATGACCTAGTAAGTATTCAGTATGTCGGGAGTCGGCTCAAGTTTAGGTGATAAAAAAAGGAATTTGAAAATTGATATGTAAGTCTCGGATATTTGTGAACATGCAATCGAATTATGTTAATATGTAATAATACGCTTAAAGCTTATATAACTTCATTTTTAAATTTATTACAATTTATTTTAAATATAAATTTCGAACTCTTTTTTTATTCGTTGAAAAGTGTCTGATTTCTTGATGATTTGTATTTTTTCAAAGTTTATTTTAGTGAATTAGAACGATCAGGGGCGAAATATCAAAGTCTGCTGTTCAGTGCTACGTACGACGAAGCTGTTCGATCATTTGCAGATTCTATTATCAAAGATGCCGTCAATATTACGTAATGTTTTATTGCTACATTTTCCTCAGAATTTACAACGATAGTAATAAAATTACAAATTTTAAGGGAAAAAAAGTTGAATGACGGAATAGGAGAGAGCTTATATGGGAAAAGAGGTGCTTTTCGGCTATCAGATTGTTTGTGACTTCGTATCTTACATTAAAATATATGCTACATTGGATATAAACTATTCGCAACTGCATATTTAATCTCGAGTTTGATATGTACTTTGTTTAAGTTTTAACTAAATTTTTTTCTATCAAATTGGTTAATTATTTAAAGCATTTTTTTATTCATTATCTTCTTTTCCCCTGAGGTCAATCTACTTTCCTTTCAAGTAATAAGTATTGTAACGAGTAAAATAGGTCAGACGCTTTATTTCAGAGAAAGAGGATAAGAGATGAGGTAAGATAGGATAATCACCATCTGATTGTTAATGGTGGAGAGCAGCTTCTCTGCGAGTTGCGCAATAGTTTTCCGGCTTTATGATAGTGCAAATTATAGTGTTTGTTAAAAGGTCGCATTTCATGAATGACGTTATTGGAAGGAAGTGATTGAAAAAAGCTAAGTACAATAGCAAATAAGGAAGTATTAAATTTCAATGTTTTTTCGTCATGAAAGTAGAGCAGAAGAAATTTCGAATCTACTCAAGAATGTTAGCTAGAGACATGTTTGAAGTTTATTTTGTCCAAGAGGTACTTTTTTTTAGCATTATTGTATAATTAACGTATTCGTTCAAAAGTTTACATAATTTAGAAGTTACTGTGAGATATAACGATATGTTACTGGTTTTGTAGCGATACACTGTTATGCTAGCTAATAATGGACTGCGACATGCTGCATTGAAAATAAGCAATGATTCAGTTTAAATTACTACATTGAGAATAAACTAGCGATAGATTGGCTAAAATACTTTCTAATGATTTTCATATTGATATTTTTTAAAAATTAAAATTGAAACTTTTATTGACCTAATGTTAAAATTAAAGTGCGACATTCTACAGTGAGGTTTGCAAATTAACTGATTACGGAATATTTTATCATCAGTCCCTTCTATCCAAAATACATATTTTAATATAAACAGTGAACCGAAAGTTCAGATCACAGTAGGTAGTTGCAATGAAAATACCATTCATCTGGTCATTGACCGCTCATCATGTTTATTTTGGGGAGTAAATGGAGCTCAGGTGCTAACGGTGACATCTGTTCAGAAAAGTAGAAAGGTTTTTTGGTCGGTTTAGTGGTATCATATTTCTCACACATCACGGTGTTAATAAAATTGGATAGAATATAAGATGTTTCTGAGATATTTTTTGCTTGATGGATGGCAGAATTTCAATAAACGTTGGCATGAAAAACACATTTTGGAATGAAGAAACTTTGTTGTATATACATGCATCATTAGCTACTAACAGTTCTGCATAATCATTCAGAAAAATGATTTAAAAAACATGGAAATTGGTAAGATACACTTCATGACACCTCTCAGTGTTTCACTCACATATGATCGGTGTAACATATACTTCAAGTTTTATCAGATCGTTTTTTTCTTCGTAATAATACGCTCAGCACTGCAAAATTCGTTTATTTTCTCTTAGAACAATTGTCTATCCGCTTTCTGCAAATTACTCAAATAAATAATGCGCATTATTTATTTATGGCAACTCCACGTCACCCTACCCGCTGTTTTAGTCTCGGATCTCTCATGTAATTTTCTTTGCTTATGCTTGAGTCAACAATATACTATTTCGCATTTCTCAACAGAAAAAGTATGCTTATTGCACTGAAAATGTATTTAGTTGAGCATATATACATAACTAAAAATAATCATACGATTGGAAAATGCCAGTTATTAATTTTTGGTTGACATTTTTTATTTAATTAGTTCGTTTTTTTTAGTCTTGATTTTAGAAACATAAAATTCACTGCTGTCAGACGTGTGTGTCTTTATCAGGTTATCCTTTTATGAAAAAAGAAAAGGTAATTATCTCATTTTTCTCTTTATGAAAGAATATAAGAAACAATATATCGGATTTCTTTCAGCTTGCGAAGAGATGAACAGACGTTGAAAAATATCAAGCAGTATTATGTGAAATGTGCTAATAGAGAGGAGAAATATGAAGCCGTAATGAATTTATACGGTGGTTTAACGATTGCCTCAGCTATTATTTTTTGTTACGTATGTCATTTGAAGTTGTCCATCATTTTAGATTTATTAAATTTGTATTTCATTTCGAAATAATCATATCATTAAATTTAAAGGAAAAAAACGACAGATTATAAATGTCTGAAAGTTAAAGAAGATAGGAGTGAGAGGAATGGTAGAATGTAGGACCATAAATTAAAGAATTGATTCTCTTTGCATGCTGAGAAGGGATTTGCTTTCAAACAAATTGGATCATAGTGATCTGTTTATTGAATTTGAAAATTTCGAGTTTTGCAGACACGCAAATCAGCTGAATGGTTGGCTGCACGGATGGGACAGCGAGGTCATGATGTTACGGTACTGCACGGCGAAATGACAATAGAGGATCGAGCTCGAACTATTGAACAGTTTAAAGACAGTGTTTACAAAGTGCTTATCACAACGAATGTTTGTGCTCGAGGTATTTTCTTTGTTTTTGACTTACTTTTATTATTAATAATCCGGACGATTGAATTTGCATTTGTCTTTTCAGTAAGCTGTTTAATTTGCATTTTGAGTTAAAAGAAATGCCTGAATATCTGTCATAAATGAAAATAAAAAAGTTTTAATGCCTTTAACTCACAGAGTATAATGAAATAAAAACACAAAACCAAACTATCTTACTACATACCGAGCGTTATCAAATTTCGATAGCAAACAGTGAGATATCAAATTGAAAGAAATTCATTAAAGATTCCTTTAATTGTTTCTTAAAATTATTTCTCTTGTATACTGTGAATTTGGAATCAATCACTATGGGAATTCTAACTTTAGCGAAGTGTCCGCTGAATAATTTGAATAAGGTAAAATAATTTCATTGAAATAATTAATATTTTTCTGTCTTCCAGGTATTGATGTCTCTCAGGTGTCAGTGGTTATAAATTACGATCCACCAGTGACTTATGCGGATAATCCACAACCAGACTACGAAACTTATATCCATCGAATTGGGAGGACAGGAAGATTTGGTAAAGCAGGGATCGCGATCAATTTGGTTTCTGATGATTTCTCACTGAGTATTATTCAACGAATTGGCGACTACTTTGGTAGCTCATTTTGTCGTTCAAATTTTTATTTTTCAACAACTACTGTAGTTTGTTGGTGTCATTTTTAATTGACTCGAAACTAATATTTCAAATCGAGAGTTCAGTTTGTTCTGGTAAATATTCAGACTGTTACATAAAGGATTGTTTCTAACGATTTCAAGGGCAAGAAATCATGGATCGCATAGAAATTGTACGCGGACTTTCGAAAATTGAGCATTTAGAATTAGAAATCTGAGAACAGACCTGCTGAATAAGAAGTTATTAGATTCATGTCCATCTATTTCTGTTGATTTGTTTACAATTAGTTGAGGCTTTTGAAATATAAAACAATGAATTAAGATGTTTATTTTCATACCATCATACTTTTTTATCATTGGTAAATGATTGGAATAATTATTTTCCAGTAAATCTGTTGCAGGCGTAGTGATCGAGCCCTTAGATGCAAGCGATACAGATCAGTTAGAAGCAATCGATAAAGATAAGTTTTGAATGGCTCCATTTTTGGTTTAAATTTACTGAAGTGCAATTTTAGGTGCCGCATTGTTTATTATGCACAGTAATATTTTGTATTTATCTGACAATTTTTTTTGTTTTGCTAATTGTATTATTGTTTTCGATATGAACAAAAGGCGAAAGTTTCAATCACATAGAAACATCAGCAAATTTTTGGTTGCTTTGTATTTTTTCATCTAATGAGGAAAAAGTTAGAAATTTCGTGGTTTATTGGACAAAAATTTCTTGTATTGTCGATTCAATTCATAAGAATTTCCGTTTGTTTTTCATTTTAGTTGTTTTCTTTGTTTCACTGGTTTAACGCGAAGTTTGGTATTTTCCCGGGTTTCTTCTGACTATTTCATTGTTTTACACAATATACGTATCATGAGTTATCATGGATGTCTGTGATCTGAAAATCCGCCAATATTATTAATTTCAGGAACACAGGGAATGAAGGGGTTTATTGCATATAAGTTGAGAAAGCTGTACATGATCGTATTAAAAATGATTCGCCACTCTAGCCATGAAATCATTGAATTTGATTTCTTTGCTGGTTCTGTTTGCTCACTTTTTTCCAATTTGTGTAACAAGTCGCAGTACGTTCTTGTTTGCATAGATACTCGAGAATATTGCCGATGTTTTTACCTAATCGCTTACGGTTCCTTTCTTTGACGAGACGACTTAAACGAATAGTACAACTGTCGAGAAAAGAAACCAAAAAGACAGCGATTCAGTCTGTCGTGTCATAAATGGTTTGGCAATTTTTGTTAAAAGTTTTTGAGAATTTTTGAAAAAATTCGGAGCTATTCCATAACTTCCATCTTTATCGCATAATTTCGAACTTTTGACAATTGAAATTTCGGAACATGTTCTTGCTTTCCATTTTACTTTCATTTTTGAACGTAAATTCTCATTATTCATTATCAGTGGATATGTTTATGATATTGTTTTTTTCCATAAAATACATGCCTCAAGATTTACCCTTATCATCAATCTCTTGACTTTCTCTTTGTTGTTGGTAAAACTCTTTTGTGCTTATATGTAGGTCGATTTCTTTGTCGATTTACATGAATCACATATATTACATTCTTCTTTTGCATTGTATTAACGGCTGTTGTTGTTTTATGACATGTTACAATAAAAGAGAGAAATAGATTATGTTTGGTAAACTTGAAAAATATTTGATATCTTCTGATTAGGGATATACAGGAAAGAGCGAACTCCGCAATGCATAGTTCTTCTATTTTAACCAAAGAAGTTTGAATAGATGCATGTTAGTACTTTTTGAGGATTCTAAATAAAGGTGATGTGATCATAGCTGAATCTCCCGCATATTTTCATAAAGCGGTGTTTTTTTTTTCAAATGAATAAAGGCGACATTGAATTATCGTGAAGCATATGGCAAAAAATACATCTGTTGCGGCGAGATAACGAGTTTTCGGAATGGATCGCTGCTATGAGAGTCTCATTAATCGCAATCATCAATCATCGCCATGATCTCTCATGCCAGATTTTTCATTATTTTTTACTTTTTCTTTTTTGTTTAACCGAAAACGCACTGAAATCTGAAAATAACTGCAGCGAAGATTGAAAAATTCAGGCGTATGAAAACTACAATTTCAGATAGAAAGTTTGGTGCTGAATAAAAAAATTTGGAATAATAGAGAATCAATTATTCAATAGGACGATATTTACCATTTGGAATATTGAAATTTCTAATTACCACTTCTAATGATTCATTGTGAAATAGCCAAACGATGATGGATTGATAAAGAATCACTTATAGATAAGAATAATTACGATAGATTTTGCTTATTTCAAATGGTAATAGCGACATGATAATTTTGATTTCAAGATAGATTAATTAAAATATCCAAAGGCGTCCAAGCAAAAGATCCCATATCGCAATGTCAAGAAATTTGGTGATGCGCTGAAGTATACAACAATTATTGGCTATGACAATTTTGTGAGAAAAAGCGATACTATGCAAAATCATCGTTATTCGAATCATTTTCCGGAAAGTTATCAAGAAGTTTTCGAGAAAATTGATTAATTTTCGGCATGGCACAAGATATGGTACAGTAAAGTGTAATTACTTTTAACTTATCATCTATTCATTGTTAGCTAAAGGTTTACTTCTTGAACGCATAATTTTAAGCCAAATAAAAGTATCACAAGCTAACATTTGATAAGAATATCTTTAATAAATGTTTGAAAGAAATTTCATTTAATAACAATTTATTGAAATTAAAAAAACTTTGAAATTTGAAAAACTTTGAAAAATGAAGAAAATTTCGAATAAATTTGCAATACAGTTTTTCCTTGCTGTGGAAAACTTTTCATTGTTCAGCAGTACTTAAATTTAAATTTAAATTTACTTTTTTTTAAATTTACTTAAATTTAAATTTAAACAAATGACT